AGATGTCGAACTCGCCACTGTGACTTCGGAAGGTTCAGTTTTGCACTACAAAATCCGACCAGCGGGCTCCAACAGTGCTTCGACAACTCCATTGTCCAAGCATCCATCGCTTCACAACGCCGACATCCACCGTGTCTCTTGGTTCAGAGGATCCATCGTCGTCTTGTTCCCTTTTACAAGGCTGAGTTCAAATACTTATTCATGCCAAATCCTTACCATGGAAAATGCCATTCAAATCCACACTGGCACTGATCCACAATGTCCAATATTTTCGGGGCTGCTATATTGCGGAACATGGGCTCCCTCCCCAGCAAGTCCAGTGGCACTCGCATACAATCAGAGCATTTTGATCCACAATGTCGATTGATTGTTTGAAACGTCCACTTTTCTGTAGCCGGCGGTTCGCGGCTTTTTCACTTCTTGGACTGCTACGCGCGAGCTTCTTGGTCAACAGCAAAGCTTTCATGAGCGTCTTGACATCTCGGGCAATTTTTACACAGGAAACGACGGGCGTCTGTTTCATTGATAGTCGGAGGAAGATTGCCAATGTTGCGATTCGCTGATACTCCTACCACCCACGGCGAGTAACTCACATATCGGATTGTTCATCTGCAATACCAACAACCGAAGGGGCCGCAAAACATCAAAGTCTACTCCGCCGGCTCCTATCACCGCATCTGCTACCCTATGACTAGGATAGGTTCATCGCTCTCTGAGACAAGCATGCAACCGATATCCTCTGCCTACATGTATCAGCTGATCTATAACTCTGCTGAGGCCTGCCTCCTCCCATCAATCCTTAAAAGCCCTGTCAATTTCCACATCGGCGCCTTCAGTTTTTGGCTCAAGACACATGGTCTTCTTGGCCGAAAACGCTCCGTCCTCTAAGCATGTAACGTTCTCGGCCACAAGAGCCTGCGTTCACCCTATTGGGATGGCCCGGAAGTTTGCGTGTTGGTGTTCCTCAATTAAGCTGGAACACATTGCGATTTCCCTCCTTCCTTGACTCCCGCAAGCAGCTTCCTCGTTTTATCTGTTCTCCTTCTGGTTGAGATTTTTAAGCGCCCTGAATGAAGCGGGTTCCAATGGCCTCCATAATATTCCAAGGATCCTCGTCCAATCGTATCGCCGGGCGCCTATTTGCGATCCCGAAACCGCAAGTTATTCGCTGTACGGCTCTCTGTGGCAGCGTACGCAAACTTAGTCCTGGATGGGTGTGCGGCGGTTAACAATTCAAGGCCGGGAAAGGATCAGTTTGAGAATTGTGAGGGCGATTACGCCCTGGTCGATAGGCTATAAAAGTTCACCCCCCCCCCCCCCCCCCCCCCCCCCCTTTGTCCCCGCGTCTATATGATTAGTCATTCCACGACCCTCAGCCATTTCAACCCTCCCACGC